AGGCTTGATAGAATTCTACGATCAGGTGACAAAGATTAAGGAAGAAAGAGAAGGATGGGCGGACTGCATTTTTTTGGACTGTCGGAAAGCCTTCGATACAGTACCCCATAAAAGGTTGATGCATAAGCTGGAGAAACAGGCAGGAGTAACTGGTAGGGCGCTCCAGTGGATAAGGGAGTACCTAAGCAATAGGAAGCAGAGAGTTACAGTGAGGGGTGAGACCTCAGAATGGCGTGAAGTCACCAGTGGAGTCCCACAGGGCTCTGTGCTTGGACCTATCCTGTTTCTGATATACGTAAATGATCTCCCAGAGGGTATAGACACATTCCTCTCAATGTTTGCTGACGACGCCAAAATTATGAGAAGGATTAAGACAGAGGAGGACAGCTTGAGGCTTCAAGAAGACCTGGACAAGCTGCAGGAATGGTCGAACAAATGGCTGTTAGAGTTTAACCCAAGCAAATGTAATGTAATGAAGATAGGGGTAGGAAGCAGGAGACCAGATACAAGGTATCATTTGGGAGAGGAAATACTTCAAGAGTCAAAGAAAGAGAAAGACCGGGGGGTTGATATCACGCCAGACCTGTCCCCTGAAGCTCATATCAAGAGGATAACATCAGCAGCATATGCCAGGTTGGCTAACATAAGAACGGCCTTTAGAAACTTGTGTAAGGAATCTTTCAGAACATTATATACCATATATCAGACCAATCCTGGAGTATGCGGCACCAGCATGGAGTCCATATCTAGTCAAGCATAAGACTAAAATGGAAAAGGTTCAAAGGTTTGCCACCAGACTAGTACCCGAGCTGAGAGGTATGAGCTACGAGGAGAGACTACGGGAATTAAACCTCACTTCGTTGGAAGACAGAAGAGTTAGGGGGGACATGATCACCACATTCAAGATCCTCAAGGGAATTGACAGGGTTGATAAAGACAGGCTGTTTAACACAAGGGGCACACGCACTAGGGGACACAGGTGGAAACTGAGTGCCTAAATGAGCCACAGAGATATTAGAAAGAACTTTTTTACTGTCAGAGTGGTTGACAAATGGAATGCATTAGGAAGTGATGTGGTGGAGGCTGACTCCATACACAGTTTCAAGTGTAGATATGATAGAGCCCAGTAGGCTCAGGAACCTGTACACCAGTTGATTGACAGTTGAGAGGCGGGACCAAAGAGCCAGAGCTCAACCCCCGCAAGCACAACTAGATGAGTACACACACACACACACACACACACACACACACACACACACACACACACACACACACACACACACACACACACACACACACACAAACACACACACACACAAACACACACATCCCGTTCCTAATGTATGTAAACGATCTACCAGAGGACGTGATCCCATTCTTATCCATGTTTGCTGACTACGTTAAGCTAATGAGGCGAATCAGAACTGAAGACGACTCTAGTACATTAGAAGATGAGCTAGACAATCTCCAGAGATAGCCTGTGAAATGGCTTCAATAGGCTTTAACTCTGAAAATTCATGGTCATGAGGATAAAGGGCAGGTAACTTACAACTTGTGATAGAGGCTAAGGAGAGGACATAACTGGAGATCTAACACCAGAGGAACACATCAGCAGAGTAACGAGGGCAGCGTATGCCAGAGAGGCAAGACTCCTGCCGCAGCTTGAACAAGGAGCCCTTCTGAGCGTTGTATACTTCCCTTATGATATGTATTATTGAGACTGCTGCCCCATCATGGAACACCTATCTAAAGAAACTCAAAATATATCTAGAAAATGTTCACAAATATGCAAAAGGCTCGTTCCTGACTCATGAAGAGAGGGAAGTGGACGTCATTACACTGGAGGACACCAGGAATACAACAGACATAACGACAACAAGATACTAAGAGGGATTGATAAAGCAGATATAGAAGCAATGTTCAAATTTAAGATCATAATTGGACATTAGCGGAAACTGGAAACATTAGTGGAAACTGGCAGTGTATATGTTGATGTTGGCAGTGTATATGTATATGTTGATGTGGGCAGTGTATATGTTGATGTTGATGTGGGCAGTGTATATGTTGATGTTGGCAGTGTATATGTATATGTTGATGTGGGCAGTGTATATGTTGATGTTGGCAGTGTATATGTTGATGTTGGCAGTGTATATGTTGATGTGGGCAGTGTATATGTTGATGTTGGCAGTGTATATGTATATGTTGATGTTGGCAGTGTATATGTTGATGTTGGCAGTGTATATGTATATGTTGATGTTGGCAGTGTATATGTTGATGTTGGCAGTGTATATGTTGATGTTGGCAGTGTATATGTTGATGTTGGCAGTGTATATGTTGATGTTGGCAGTGTATATGTTGATGTTGGCAGTGTATATGTTGATGTGGGCAGTGTATATGTTGATGTTGGCAGTGTATATGTTGATGTTGGCAGTGTATATGTATATGTTGATGTTGGCAGTGTATATGTTGATGTTGGCAGTGTATATGTTGATGTTGATTTTGGCAGTGTATATGTTGATGTTGGCAGTGTATATGTTGATGTTGGCAGTGTATATGTATATGTTGATGTGGGCAGTGTATATGTTGATGTTGGCAGTGTATATGTATATGTTGATGTTGGCAGTGTATATGTTGATGTTGGCAGTGTATATGTTGATGTGGGCAGTGTATATGTTGATGTTGATGTTGGCAGTGTATATGTTGATGTTGGCTGCGTATATGTTGATGTTGGCTGTGTTGATGTTGGCTGCGTATATGTTGATGTTGGCTGTGTTGATGTTGATGTTGGCAGTGTATATGTTGATGTTTACATAATATCATCTCACAAGGGAGGCTCTCTCTCAGCTTCACCACCACGTGTGGATCTTGCCGGAAATCTTTTGTGTGCTATCAAGTTTTCTCTTTATTAAAGCAGACAATTTTCCTGGACAACGACCCAATCTTAATTAGCGGCTCAGAGAGAAGCTCAGGTGTGTCCTGAGAGAGGCACTCCTCCTTGGTGTCCAGACTCCTGGCTTGTGGGTGTCCAGGCTCCTGGCTTGTGGGTGTCCAGACCCCTGGCTTGTGGGTGTCCAGGCTCCTGGCTTGTGGGTGTCCAGGCTCCTGGGTTGTGGGTGTCCAGACCCCTGGCTTGTGGGTGTCCAGACCCCTGGCTTGTGGGTGTCCAGACTCCTGGCTTGTGGGTGTCCAGACCCCTGGCTTGTGGGTGTCCAGGCTCCTGGCTTGTGGGTGTCCAGTCTCCTGGCTTGTGGGTGTCCAAACTCCTGGCTTGTGGGTGTCCAGGCTCCTGGGTTGTGGGTGTCCAGACCCCTGGCTTGTGGGTGTCCAAACTCCTGGCTTGTGGGTGTCCAGGCTCCTGGCTTGTGGGTGTCCAGACTCCTGGCTTGTGGGTGTCCAGACCCCTGGCTTGTGGGTGTCCAGACCCCTGGCTTGTGGGTGTCTTGCTGGGCTCTCAGTCCTGTTCACTCTACGGTATAAGTGGCAGTAGAGAATGTAGTGAGTCACCTGCAGGAGGGAGGGGACTCACCTGCAAGAGGGAGGGAGGGAGGGGATTCACCTGCAGGAGGGAGGGAGGGGACTCACCTACAAGAGGGAGGGAGGGAGGGGACTCAGCTACAAGAGGGAGGGGAGGGAGGGGACTCACCTACAGGAGGGAGGGAGGGGACTCAGCTACAGGAGGGAGGGAGAGAGGGGACTCAGCTACAAGAGGGAGGGGAGGGAGGGGACTCACCTGCAGGAGAGAGGGAGGGGACTCCCCTACAGGAGGGAGGGAGGGGACTCACCTACAGGAGGGAGGGAGGGAACTCACCTACAGGAGGGAGGGAGGGGACTCAGCTACAGGAGGGAGGGAGGGGACTCACCTACAGGAGGGAGGGAGGGTACTCACCTACAGGAGGGAGGAAGGGGACTCACCTACAGGAGGGAGGGAGAGGACTCACCTACAGGAGGGAGGGAGGGGACTCACCTACAGGAGGGAGGGAGGGGACTCACCTACAGGAGGGAGGGAGGGGACTCACCTACAGGAGGGAGGGAGGGGACTCACCTACAGGAGGGAGTTAGGGGACTCACCTACAGGAGGGAGGGAGGGGACTCACCTACAGGAGGGAGGGAGGGGACTCACCTACAGGAGGGAGGGAGGAAGGGGACTCACCTACAGGAGGGAGGGAGGGGACTCACCTACAGGAGGGAGGGAGGAAGGGGACTCACCTGCAGGAGGGAGGGAGGGGACTCACCTACAGGAGGGAGGGAGGAAGGGGACTCACCTACAGGAGGGAGGGAGGGGACTCACCTGCAGGAGGGAGGAAGGGGACTCACCTACAAGAGGGAGGAAGAGGACTCACCTACAAGAGGGAGGGAGGGAGGGAGGGGACTCACCTACAAGAGGGAGGAAGAGGACTCACCTACAAGAGGGAGGGAGGGAGGGGACTCACCTACAGGAGTGAGGGAGGGAGGGGACTCCCCTGCAGGAGGGAGGGAGGGAGGGAATGGACTCACCTACAGGAGGGAGGGAGGGAGGGAGGGAGGGGACTCACCTACAGGAGGGAGGGAGGGAGGGAACTCACCTACAGGAGGGAGGGAGGGAGGGGACTCACCTACAGGAGGGAGGGAGGGAGGGAGGGAGGGAACTCACCTACAGGAGGGAGGGAGGGAATGGACTCACCTACAGGAGGGAGGGAGGGGACTCACCTACAGGAGGGAGGGAGGGAGGGAACTCACCTACAAGAGGGAGGGAGGGGACTCACCTGCAGGAGGGAGGGAGAGAGGGAGGTGACTCACCTACAGGAGGGAGGGAGGGAACTCACCTACAGGAGGGAGGGAGGGAGGGGACTCACCTACAGGAGGGAGGGAGGGGACTCACCTACAGGAGGGAGGGAGGGGACTCACCTACAGGAGGGAGGGAGGGAACTCACCTACAGGAGGGAGGGAGGGGACTCACCTGCAGGAGGGAGGGAGGGAGGGAGGGGACTCACCTGCAGGAGGGAGGGAGGGAGGGGACTCACCTGCAGGAGGGAGGGGAAGAGGCCGACGAGGAAGAGGGCAGCGATGAGGAGGTTGATGACTCCAAGGTGCAGCAGGAGGACGTGTGTGGTGGTGCGCGTCTGCCGGAGAAACACGCTCGTTAACACTCTTAACTACTCAACCCTCACTAACTCTTGCCTCTCTAACTCATCAAATATTAACTACTCTACCCTGGGAAACTATTGCCTCTCAGAGTGACTCCTCATAACGAAGGTAACTTGTCAACAAACAGGAATACAGTGTAGTATTCACAAAGTGTTAATAAGATATAGTGAAGTGTAGACACAGGGGAAGCATGTACACGGTGACCGCGTCTCACACACCTCATACACAAAGTAATCAAAGGAACGTGGATCGTCTCAACTCTGTACCCAAAACGGCAACCAAAAGAATACAAAATAACGGGAAGATTGTATACTGGGATAAACACAGACCAGAATTCTTTGGTTCCCATTATGTCATAAACATCGTTCACTTTTCCTCCTCCGTTTCCCCTAAGGCCGCGTGAAAGGTAAACACAGTTCACAGAAGACACGATAAACAATTTGAAACTGTTAGTGGTTTTGGAGCCATATAAACCTGGGAGTCTGCCTTTGTTTACAAACATTCTTTGTGGCAGGAGACCGCCGTGTGAACCTTATAGACAGTTAGTATTGGTGTCGTCACACCAACAGTTGGTACCTGCGGGCCCATGTGCACTGTGGCTGTGCACTCTGGGCCCGGGCTCAATGTTTGCTGTATATTGCTATCTATAATTGAGCCCAGTGGTCAACATTTTGGGCTCATTATGCTTGGCAATTAAATAGATGGTGTGAGAGTGATCAGAGGATGCGATCTGAATGAGTGTGGTCCAACATAACACACACACAAGGGGCAACAGCTTCAAGCTCAGGCGCTTGATATTCACATATCGGACAGATATTCAGGTAATATTGATGAAACTTTTTAAATGTTACGAGCTGGGAAGTGAACTATTCTACACTGTATTTGTTCATTGTTCTCGTAAATTATTAACCCATTTGAATACATGAGTTACTGTTAGTCAACTTTCTCATCGTAGGCATCTTAACTCTTACAGTTGCTGTCCTGTATGTGTAGTGCTTGTGCCCCTGGCCAATGGTCCCGCGGCCCGGACTCTAACCAGGCAGTCTGGCTCATGATCTGATCATCCAGGCTGTTAAATACATGACTCACTGCCCAGTTGATATGGTATCCTTCGGAGATATTTATCAAGTTCTCTTATGAACACCGTGAGAGGTCGGCTAGTTATGTCCCTTAAGTTTAGAGGAGTGTTCAACAGTCTTGGGCTATTAAAATGTTGATAGATTGTCTGTTAGCGTAACTCTTACATCTCCAACATGCCTCCTGGTCATAGTAGACGGGTGGACATCTACCAAACACACGGAAATTAGTTATTTCCGAGTGCAGATTTAGAACCAGTCGACCTAATGTTTGCTCTAAGATGTGTTATTGTGTGAATGCTCACATGTGAATGTGTGCACACATTCTTGTGGTCAGCAACTACTCCAGCATGAGTGGGGCTGTTAGTGTGCAACATATTCCACCCAATATATTCCCTTCCCTCCTTCCCCACTCCTTCCCTACCCCTTGTCCGCTCTCCCCACCATCACTCCACCCCTCCCAACTGCTGCCCTCTCATTTATCACCTCTCACAGCTTCATCCCTCTCATTTATCACCTCTCACAGCTTCATCCCTCTCATTTATCACCTCTCACAGCTTCATCCCTCTCATTTATCACCTCTCACAGCTTCATCCCTCTCATTTATCACCTCTCACAGCTTCATCCCTCTCATTTATTACCTCTCACAGCTTCATCCCTCTCCTCACAGCTTCATCCGTGTCCCTCGTGATGTGTTGATCTGCCATCCAACAAATCAGCAGTAAATATGAGGGGGATTAATAAACACGTCGCTTTTATCTCATCAACTCATATTTTAAACCCCTTATTTCTGACCGGCAAAATTTATATATTAATATTTGTGTATTGTAGTGAGGATGGCAGCCAGGCTGTGTTGATGGTCTCAGTGTATTGTAGTGAGGATGGCAGCCAGGCTGTGTTGATGGTCTCAGTGTATTGTAGTGAGGATGGCAGCCAGGCTGTGTTGATGGTCTCAGTGTATTGTAGTGAGGATGGTATCCAGGCTGTGTTGATGGTGTCAGTGTATTGTAGTGAGGATGGTATCCAGGCTGTGTTGATGGTCTCAGTGTATTGTAGTGGGGATGGTATCCAGGCTGTGTTGATGGTCTCAGTGTATTGTAGTGAGGATGGTATCCAGGCTGTGTTGATGGTGTCAGTGTATTGTAGTGAGGATGGTATCCAGGCTGTGTTGATGGTCTCAGTGTATTGTAGTGAGGATGGTATCCAGGCTGTGTTGATGGTCTCAGTGTATTGTAGTGAGGATGGTATCCAGGCTGTGTTGATGGTCTCAGTGTATTGTAGTGAGGATGGTATCCAGGCTGTGTTGATGGTCTCAGTGTATTGTAGTGAGGATGGTATCCAGGCTGTGTTGATGGTCTCAGTGTATTGTAGTGAGGATGGTATCCAGGCTGTGTTGATGGTCTCAGTGTATTGTAGTGGGGATGGTATCCAGGCTGTGTTGATGGTGTCAGTGTATTGTAGTGGGGATGGTATCCAGGCTGTGTTGATGGTCTCAGTGTATTGTAGTGAGGATGGTAGCCAGGCTGTGTTGATGGTGTCAGTGTATTGTAGTGGGGATGGTATCCAGGCCTCTCCCCTCACCAGCCTCTCCCCTCACCTGCCTCTCCCCCTCCCCCCTGCTGGGTGCCACAGCTGGTCACATTCCCAGGTCTGGATCAGCTGCTCCTGCCGCAAAACCTGACATTTTCTTGTTGATCTGTGAGCAATGTTGAAGACGGCTCTAGTGTTGTGTTGTGAAGAGTTGCGGACATGAGTATGTGTACTCGCCTAGTTGTGCTGGCGGGAGTTGAGCTCTGGCTCTTTGGTCCCGCCACTTAACTCTCAATCTACTTGTGTGCAGATTTCTGAGTCAACTGGGCTCTGTCAAATCTACATTTGAAACTGTGTATGGAGTCTCCCTCCTCTACCTAATGCATACCGTCTGTTAACAACTTCGACTGTGAAAAAAATCTTTCTAATGTCTGTGTGGCTCGTCTGTGTACTCAGTTTCCACCTGTGTCTCCTTGTTCGTTCGTTCCACCCGTATAACCCACCCGAGTTTGTCTTTGTCCATCCAGTCAATTCCCTTGAGAATTTTGTAGGTGGTTATTGTAAGGAACCTCCTGTGTAGTTTAGTCTTCATAATAACTTGTTTATTAATGCAGACAGAGTTGATGGGGAGATTAGAGAATGATTTTGAAAGAAATCTGGAGGTGGGAACTGAGAGGCAGCGGTGTCACCCCGCAAGCAAAGTAGTACCTTCTGAGCTGGCGATTGTTGAGCAATGCTAATTGAAGTTTTCAACTTCAATTAGCAATACACAAGTTTTAAATATCAGGAATTTCTTTTTCAGGTTTATTAAACAATATAGATTTTATACAAAATTTTAAAATATCCTGAAATACTTTACAATTTATTGATATATTTTAGTTTCGTTTTATTAGTTTTATAAAACTGTAATATCAATATAGCTATAGGTTAAGTACTAATTGTAATTAAGAAGCAATAAAATTATTATCTTCAAAAACTAAGACGGTTAGGTGAGGTTGTGGTTTTCTATTCAGTTTTTCAGGTAAACTCAAATATTCACAATATATCTGACAGTACGATTTAATACTAAGTGAAAATAAGTACAATTCCTAACTGCTATGAATAGTACATAATTGCACTTATTTGTCTTCTTACATTTACCACCCCATTTTTGGAGGACGGGATGATCTGAAAGAGTCTAGTTCTTTCCTACACACACACACACACAACTATTTCATGTCACACCTGTACTTTATATGTTAATGGAGCCATTAAGCCCTAACTTTTTACAGGTAAGCATGTGACTTGGAGACATCAATAAGCTGGCCAACATAAACTGTGATATTTCTTGCTACGCCTAGCTGTACACAGACGCCATTATAAGGGCCCTAGACCACATGTAGCCACACCATAATCTGATGGAGGGACCATCACACACAGCCTAATCAGGCCATACCTACAGTATCAGCTAAGGCCTTATACTTCCTTTATTAACACAGTAGATAACTGTAATATTAATAATAGTAGTTTAGGCCACCATATTTGGTATAATTTATATTCAATTTAGAGGTAAATATTTATTGCTTATTATATATCCACCCATTGTGGTATAAGCTATAAATATCCCTTCAAACTATGTACAGATAAATTCTGGCAGGCTGAGTCAAATATACAGTCCGCTTAGAATCATAATCATAAATACTGAAGTGACAAAACTAGAAATTAAATATTCACAAAGAATAAAAACAAATAAATGCCTGCTAGGATTTTTCCACAGGGTGCACAATAAACTACTGCTCACAAGATGAGTATGGGGTGCACAATAAACTACCTCTCACAGGATGAGTACAGAGTTACAGAAGAGATAGGATTACTTCTGAGATTTAAGAGCACAAAGTTATTAAAGACATTTAAGGTAACCCGAGTGACGGCAAAAGGCAAGGCGGGAGCACTCACTCATCCAGCGCCTGACTAAGGCCAACATCAGCATCACATAGCGAGACACCTACACCCACTGGTATATATATTATAACATTTACCTACAGCCAGTTATTATAAATATAAATAGGCTGAACAAGCTGTCCAACCAGCACACGTTAACTCCCACCGGGTGAATACATCGCTTGCCTGAACGTTCAAGGTTTTCGGATTGAAGGAAGAGAGAAAGATGAAGATGAGTGTAGAGGCCAGAGAGTAAGAATGTTGGAGGGGTAATAAGGCACGGTACAGTGTTGAGACAACACACAGTAACCAGCAGGGATCTACAAGCAGGCACTCCACACTACTCCTTAGTGACTGACCTGTGTGAAGCTGTGCGTGCAGGACACGAACAGTATGTAGGAGTTGAACAGGACGCTGGTAACTGTACCGATGACCAGGAGAACCGCCAACACCATCACTGGCATACTCTCCTTCCTCACCCTCACCTCACGTGCGTGACACACACGCTCCTGTAGCCTCACGTGCGTGACACACACGCTCCTGTAGCCTCACGTGCGTGGCACACACGCTCCTGTAGCCTCACGTGCGTGACACACACGCTCCTGTAGCCTCACGTGCGTGACACACACACGCTCCTGTAGCCTCACGTGGGCTACATTGCCTCCACACCACTCGTCTTCCACTGCTACCTCTCCTCCACCTTGCCATCCTTGAGCGACTCGCATCCCTTGATGGCACACCCTTCCCTACGCCTCATATTATGGGAATGTCAGGTGGGGGTGTTGGTCAGTGGCTACCTGACCCCAACTCTACACCCACCTCACACACAATGTCAGGTGGGGGTGTTGGTCAGTGGCTGCCCGACCCCGACTCTACACCCACCTCACACACAATGTCAGGTGGGGGTGTTGGTCAGAGGAGGCCCGACCCCTACTCTACACCCACCTCACACACAATGTCAGGTGGGGGTGTTGGTCAGTGGCTGCCCGACCCCGACTCTACACCCACCTCACACACAATGTCAGGTGGGGGTGTTGGTCAGTGGCTGCCTGACCCCGACTCTACACCCACCTCACACACAATGTCAGGTGGGGGTGTTGGTCAGTGGCTGCCCGACCCCGACTCTACACCCACCTCACACACACAGCACTTGAAATTGACGCAGGAATGAAATAACTCTCTTGCAAGAAATTGACTCGTTTGCAGCCAGCCAGATTACACTGAAGAACGAACTGAATGTATTAACAAACTTAACTTTCCTCGCTAAGATGTTGATTTAACTCGATTTTGGCGCAGCAAAAGTTGAGGTTATAGCAACCTAAAGTACAGTCAGGATATTACTGTGTTATCTGTCAACGCTTCTCTCTCCTTCTCTTATCTTAACATTTGAGTGTCAGTGGCTTCGGCAGACTTTAAGTGTCATTTCTTAGGACTCTGTAAACAAGTTTTTTGTTTTTTTGCGTACCATTCTCACTTTTGTTTCATTTTCGGCGTTGATGTGTTGTGAGTGCTCCGTACAGTGCTCCAGCGGCCCTCGCCCTGAAATGACACAAAGTCATGTTATTACGCGATACCTAAACTTAATTCTTAGTACAAGCATTTACTTAAATATTATTATAAATAAATGCAATTATTGTTGTTGCTCCTCCTGCTGCTGCTGCTGTTGCAAATGCTTCATTTTCAAATACGTTGTAAGAGATGTTGTCGGGCTGCTATATATTATGAGTTCTCAAGGTGACAGTCTCAAAGACTCGGGTAGAGGCACACACAACACTAATCTCTCTTCAATGAATTTGATTTGGTGTCGTCAGAGCTACTAATGAAGAAGTTGATGGTGTTTGTATTCTTGTAGAACTCGTAATGAACTCTCACGAAACTAAATGGAAAGTCTTATATATATATATATATATATATATATATATATATATATATATATATATATATATATATATATATATATATATATATATATATATATATATATATATATAATCCTAATCCTATCCTGGCCGGGGAGAATTAATTGGGCGCAAATCCTTAACTGTAGCCTCTGTTTAACTCAATAGTAAAATGTGTACTTGGATGTAAAAACGATTCTTCACGGCGGGGATCGTATTCCAGGGACCTGCCCGAAACGCTACGCGTACTAGTGGCTGTAAAAGAATGTAACAACTCTTGTATATATCTCAAAAAAAAAAAAGCTGTACCCGGCCACACGTTGCTGTGGCTCTGCAACACATGACCACAGCTACCTTTCCCTGCTCCCCAGTCCTCCCATCATTCCCCCTTACCCTGTCTCCTCGTCCTTCGAACCTTTCCCCACTCCTCCATCCCCCTCTTCCTCCCCACCATCCCCAACTCCCCCATCCCCTTGTCCTCTCCACTATTTCCCGCCTCCCATGTATCTATCATTGATAGATACAGCGATAGCAGGAGGTTCGACATCTGCGAGGCACTACACATCAAGAAGTCAACACCAGCAATCAACAGCCAATTAATGCACAACTACTATATATATATATATATATATATATATATATATATATATATATATATATATATATATATATATATATATATATATATATATATATATGCCATAACTAGTATGCCTTAACCCACAACACCACTCAGACCCTTAAAAGAAGTAGAGACTTCGAGGTATATATACACCTCAAATATCCCCACTTCCCAAGGGCACCAGAATAGTGAGGGGTTACTATACGTTTTTCATCAAGCCACTGTTAATGTGGGAGAACTCGTGTCCATGCTATAAGCCTATACTTGCATAAACCACAACTGGAAGGTTTATGGCAGCTACTGGAAGGTAGTTGTGCTTTCTGGGTTCGAGACCCACTGGTGGGTGTTGTCCAAAGATTGTTAATATATATATATATATATATATATATATATATATATATATATATATATATATAGGTACAATATTGTACTAGGTACAATATATATATATATATATATATATATATATATATATATATATATATATATATATATATATATATATATATATATATATATATATATATATATATATATAGGTACAATATTGTACTAGGTACAATATATATATATATATATATATATATATATATATATATATATATATATATATATATATATATATATATATATATATATATATATATATATATTGTACCTAGTAGCCAGAACGTCGTACTTGGCCTACTATGCAAGGTCCGATTTGCCTAGTAAGCCAAGTTTTCCAGAATTTCAATATTTTTCTCATTTTTTTCTTATGAAATAATAAAGCTATTCATTTTATTATGCATGAGCTATTTTTTTTTATATGTGTCAAAGAATTTCCGACAATCCAAGAAAATGCAGTCCGCCCAGCCTTCTCTTTCTTGCCTAATGTTTGTCAGCTGGTCGTAGAAGCCCGTTAAGAGAGTGAGAGAGAGAGAGTGGTGAGGTGACCATTGTTGATGGGGGTTACCAAGTGTTCCCTCACTCTTACAACAACACTTACAAATACTTGGTTCATATGACCTTCCACACACCCTAGTTCTCTATTACAGCCCATCTTATCGAAATTAAAAATGCATTGTTCTTCTTGATCTTCATAGCGAAATTAAGTCACAAACATAATAATTCAAATTAATATTTGTTCATAACGTTATCTGAGAGATTCAAAACATTTTCTTTGAGTTTCTGTTGGTTACCCAAGAAAAGTAATTCCTTGGCGGCATTGCGTCAATAGACTGCTCAATGGCTCCCTCTCTCTCGTAAATCTCTCGACTCTGCCAGACTCAAAGTGGAGGTTCATGCTGGTATCTGTGGCATGAAAGAGGTGGAGGGAAGAGTCTCAGGTGTGGCATCATGTGTGGCGCACAACATCAGTCAGATAGTGCGGGTGCTGTCCCGCGGGCACGATACGCACCTCACATCTCTATATTTACTTATTACATCTACACCAATTTTGTACTTGAAAATATCCATATGAATTTTTTGACGCAAGAAAATATAGCGCACAGCATTTTGTTTAATCACAAAATAAAATAACTATTTCAAACCATCATAATTTTATTATAAAATTTTTAATATTAAAATAATGTTTAAATTCAGAGTAAAGATGTTTTAAAAGGTCAAATAAAAGAGAACGAATGATAGATACACTGAGACGTGTATTTCTCAATATATATTCACTCATATATGTATATGTATTAACGAATATAGAGAGAGTCGTGTATTGGTGTGAGTGGCTACGAATCAGTGACTATAGGAGGGAGTGAGATAGATGTTATAGACGTCCAGAGCCAACAATCCCCGCCCTATTATAGCCAGTGCGTCTATTACATCACTTGACCTTCAAGTTCACTGTTGTCATTTGTCTTGAAAATAAAGATGGAAGTGACTTGAGGAACTTGCACCACCACTGGGAGGGAGCCTGTCGGCCGAGCGGACAGCACGCTGGACTTGTGATCCTGTAGTCCTGGGTTCGATCCCAGGCGCCGGCGAGAAACAATGGGCAGAGTTTCTTTCACCCTATGCCCCTGTTACCTAGCAGTAAATAGGTACCTGGGAGTTAGTCAGCTGTCACGGGCTGCTTCCTGGGGGTGGAGGCCTGGTCGAGGACCGGGCCGCGGGGACACTAAAGCCCCGAAATCATCTCAAGATAACCTCAAGATAACCACTTGGTGACCACCCACACCAGGCACCTCACTCCTCACATCTCTCTGACACACTCACCTATACGGCTTGTTCTCTTACCTCCGCTTACTTATAATACACGCTCCTCTTCCACATAGTCAACTCTCCACAGTATTTTGTATATAATGATCATATCCCTTCAGTTTTCTCTCTTCCAAGGTTATAATGTTGATTTTCATTAACGTGACGTCACACACACGTACAGTACCGTCACACACACATACAGTACCGTCACACACACATACAGTACCGTCACACACACGGTACTGTACGACCCCAGTACAACAGTACTGGGGTCGTCCCTGCCAACAACAGTACTGGGGTCGTCCCTGCCAACAACAGTACTGGGGTCGTCCCTGCCAACAACAGTACTGGGGTCGTCCCTGCCAACAACAGTACTGGGGTCGTCCCTGCCAACAACAGTACTGGGGTCGTCCCTGCCAACAACAGTACTGGGGTCGTCCCTGCCAACAACAGTACTGGGGTCGTCCCTGCCAACAACAGTACTGGGGTCGTCCCTGCCAACAACAGTACTGGGGTCGTCCCTGCCAACAACAGTACTGGGGTCGTCCCTGACAACAACAGTACTGGGGTCGTCCCTGCCAACAACAGTACTGGGGTCGTCCCTGCCAACAACAGTTCTGGGGTCGTCCTTGGCCTCCCTGCCAATAGTTAACCTTGATGTGTCACTGTGTTTCTTGCCATTAATATCCTGAACAAGTTTACTTTAAACACTCTCGTGGCGCCTGTTGTAACAATATTATTTTGAACCTGACTAAGAGGCGGCGGTGGTGGAGTGGAATAGTAGGTGAAGGAGGAGGAGGAGGTGGTGGCGGAGACGGAAGAAGACAACAATTATAAGGAATATTGTAGGTGTGGTGTAGGGCTGATGATGGTGGTTACCAGGTGTGGACACAATGATGGCGTGGCAAGGTGGTACATTACTGAGGTGCTGGTCTCCATGCCTCCACTCTCCATGGTTCAGTTAAGGCCATTGTTGGTGAGTACTGTGGCCATTGTTGGTGAGTACTGTGGTCATTGTTGGTGACTGTGGCCATTGTTGGTGACTGTGGTAATTGATCAACCAGGCTGTGACTCATACGTCAGGTTGCGAGCAGCCGCGTCCAACAGCCTGGTTAATCAGTCCAACAACGAGGAGGCCTGGTCGACGACCGGGCCACGGGGACGCTAAGCCCCGGAAACACCTCAAGGTAAGGAGTGTGGCCATTGGTCTCAGCAAGTCTGGCCGTCTTAAGTACACAGACCATTCTTAATATTATTATGGTCCGGATACACAGATGATCTCTTCACCTGCATGATGGATGTTGGTGATGGTGGTGGTGGTGTCAACACCAAGGACACTACACATGTTACACTGGTGTGGCAGGAGCCTGGTGGTGGTGGTGGTGGTGGTGGTGGTGGTTGTTACGGTATGGACACCGTCGCTGGAGTATGGAGTGGCAATTTCGGCACAATCTATGAGTCTGCACTCCAACTCCTCAGTATTGGGTGCTACGCAGACAACGCCATCTGTTGGTGGTGGCGCGATATCGGTGAAAGGCTTCGGTTTCCTGCCTCAGTTAAAAGAGGAGGTCGATAAGGATGACCTCTGTTGGGGTGGCGTATTGAGATCAACGCCATCTAGGTTGTGGCTACAATTTACAATGTCAATTCCCCAATGGAAGGGTGTTATCCTAAGGTCACTTAGTATACTGTCTGTCTGGCTAATAATCTTTTATTTTCCCAGAGGTGACATAAGGAGGCGATGGCGTCGAGGAGGGCAAATCTCCTTGGGCAGTCCAAGAACTCTTAACTTCGTCCTGTGAGAGGACAAAGTGGCCGCCGTCGGT